GTGGCCTTGAGGCCTTACTTATTCAGACCGCGCCAGTGTCAGCTCGGGGTGGCAGGAGATCTCATTGATCGACTTTTTTAAAGATCAATTATGTGGCTTTCCTCTTACCAGGCACTGAAAAATGCGAAAGCCGAATGAGTTAGTCTACCGCGTTGAGTTCCGCCTCCAGTTGGAGTGCTCGGTCCTATCACTGGTGTGATGAAAGGTTGCCGTTAGCAGCCTAGCGACGAGTAGATGCAGCAGAGCAGTGCCTTCACGATGATGAATTATTTTATTACAGGTTCTGTCGTGGGGTTGAAGCCGCTCCTTTTATTTGCTTTTCTTGATCACTTTTCTCCATACGTTCGTCATCTACAATTTAATTTCCAACAGTGAACATTCCAGCGTTTGTCTTCAAGTTACCGTGACGATTGCGATTTCTCAGACAATCACTACTAATGTGTTCTAAAGAGAGGTAGCAATGCTTCTACGTCGACTCACCACTGTAGTCGTAACTCCGGCTGTGATCACACACAGGCCAATCAGCGACCATGGGACAAGATCTGAATACTGTTATAAAAACACCTGGTATTTGTAACTATATTTGTCTTTCTCTAATCAATGTGAAGCCATGATTTTGATAAGATCTCATCACACAAGACATGACAAGACATTCATAAGCATCCATTCTGCAAGATTTTGACCCAAGGAATTAAGCACAGTGGAATTTGGAAAGCTTGCGCAGTAGAAGAGTGCCTTAGGTCATCGGCTGCTGGAGTTCAAAGCTAGAGAAGAGATAAGGAATTAACGTTGAGCAGCTCCTTTTCTGATAATCATGCATTATATCTCCTTTGTAGTGTCACGGGTCCCATGGGCGTTCTACAGATGACCCGAGATATTATTGTTGTATAGTTTAGCGTTTCTTTGTCCCAGGTTTTTGAGTGCCGCATTTGGGTCAAAATTTCAGGGTGAAAATGTAGTTCGGGGGGGCACCCTATCTAAGTGGAGTTGCGGAAAGACACTATATCTAATCAAAGTAGAGTGCGGGAAGGCACTTATATCTTATCATATCTTTCACTGAGACCGTGGCCTACGACTAGTACGCTTACCCTTGTCATATTATTCTATGGCTAAAATGGCTGCTACCTTGCTGGCTCTTCACTTTCCCTTCTTGCGACTGCCATGCGAGCCCTCGAAGAGAGGACCTTTCAGGTATCCGACTTTTGATCCCTATCTAATCATACATTCAGAGACTGTGTCTGGATGGTGATTAGATATGACCGCCCTTCCGCAGCTCCACTTCGATTAGATATTGTCAGTTCGATTAGATATTATGAGTGGCCCCCTCAAACTACATTTTCACCAGATTTCAGGTCGGACAGCACCGTCCGTATTGACTGACGGAGTTCGTAGATTTTTCATGAAATAAATGTTGGGTATGAGCACATCAACAGCCCCACGTGCTCTCGATCACTACTATGGTCGCACATAGTAATTCAAAGGGCTACCTATAGGAGGCCAAGTACTTACCGTAAGTAACAATAAAAGCTGTTACAAGAGACGATACCGTCATGTACGCGGAAAGGTTTATCCCAATATATCGTCTGAATTTCGTCTCATAATCGACAATAAGAAAACTGGCAATGCCTCTTTCCATGAAAATAACGATAATGCTGCAATAGGTACATTGAGTGTTTCTTCATATTGACAGCATTTATTATATTAGGTTGGAAGGAAAGTTCTGAAACACCCCGTCAGCCAAAATTTGAAATTTATTTTTTTATCCTTTGTTTTTTCTAAGACCCGTGAACATATTGACCATCAGACTCAGCAACACTACGCCAACCTTCGGGCAATTGGTTGACACCACATTTGTAGAAATTAGGAGAATTTTTGTCAAACAATCTTTTGAAGTCGGATTTGCAGTCCTTCTCGTCGTCGAGCTTTCTGTTCTCCAGGTAATGAGCAAGCGAGCAGGAAAGGTGGAAGTGTAGTATGGATAGGTTCGACGAATATGGCAGACGGGCAACCGCGGTCCAGCCTAGCTTGAGAATCTTGTGGCTTGAGACCGAAACCCGCGCCGTTGCGCGTTGTCGTGAACCAGGTTGACTTGTCGCTATATTCCACGAAGCTTTTCTGCAATCAATTCGAGCAGCTAGCAGTGTCTAGCCTTGTACTCGTCAATCCTGCGGACAGAGCTCGTGGGAAATATCGTAGAAATTCCAAAAACTTGACAGCATCACCATCCTCCCATAATTTTCAACTCGGGGCATTGTAAATCTAGTTCTCCATGCTACCAGAAGCTGGGAACGGCCGTTTCCGATGCTTACCAGGCTTCTGAAAACACTCGAGAGAGATTTGTCGTGCCCAGAATCACCTTTGATTACAGCGGTGACGGCGCCAGTAGTCCTGTGCTGCGTCAGAAAAATCAAAGTCTTCGCTGCGGAGCGTTCCAGCCAAGCTGAAATTACACCCTATTCCTATCCCTTGACTAATTCTGAGCGCCTCTCGTGGGCAGACCTCTTCAGGAGAAGTTAGCACAGGAAGGGCGCTCGGACGGTATTCGCGGGAGAAGTCGATTCTGTGCTATGTAAACGCCATTATTGGGAAAGCTGATTTGATCACCGTACGTAGCACGGTCCACTCCTACTATATACCACCCATGGAAGATTCCAGAGCATTCGGGAGAAATCCAGAAAGAGCGCGAATTGAGTGTTAAGAACTTTCCTTCCAACCAAATAGATTCTGGACGGATTTGAAGTGGAATGGGGGTGCTAAATCGGATCGGAAGATATCAGAGCGAATCATGTCAAGATCAGAGATATGGCTCCTTTGTTTGCTCGTTTTTTGACAATGTACGAGAAGGACCAAGAGGGACTACAACTGGTCACACCGCCGAGAAGGTCAAGTACTAACATCATGCGTTGATGATAGCGCGGACTTATCCAAACTGACAAAACCGACGTGAGACATAGCTGCTGAAAATAGAAAAGCCACGATGCATGCACATCGGTTACAAAACTGAGTGCGGCAGAGCGATTTGGGGAGGGCGTTTGCTTTCAAGTTTGGCGTCGTGTTCATAAATTACCATGGTCGCAAAAACGCCACACCTTGACGAACCTGCCGTCTCGCTGTTGCTTACATTGGTATATGTGTCACCTCACTGCGCACCAATTTTATCGTAATTAGTGCCTTTAATGATTACTTTCTCAATGGAGCTATGAAAGCACAGGATAGGGCGATGTGCCCATTGCGTGACACAAATCTAATCCTACCTTAAAGAAACCCTGCCTCGATTCTGCAAATGAAGAAGAAATCTACAAGATGGCTCTAATATGAACGAAATGTGCGGCGCATTCTAGAAAGACAGATGAAGCGAAAACGTTTTTGAATAATGGATTAGACACGTTCGGTAAAAATCTCTTAACATATAATATCACAAAATATCCTTCCAAAACCTCACCCTCCACAGCACAGCGCAAAATAGTACATTCGACACAACGAGCAGAACAATACCAATTTGCTGGATTCATATTCTCCTAAACAGCAGAAAGTGATAACGAATATAGTGCTAGACCTTGACCAGTTTTCTCTTATAATAGGTATGGCAAGTGCTATGAAGTCTAGCATAAGTTCTCGTTTTAGGCTAAGCGATAGAAAATTCCAAAAGAATTTTTTTCTGCTTGAATTTTGCTTGTAGAATTCCAGCGATCAATAATTCGTGTCCCTTCTTTTGATTGGTTACAATATGACCAATCAGAACAATCGCTCGCAACGTTTTGCTCTGTGAAGTCAGATTAGGGCATTCTGTTCAAACGGCTTCCAAAAAACATCTGAGTAGTGTTCACCAATTCGTTCCCCGCTTTGGAATTCTAAAAAATGGGTAATCAGGCTCCATGACATGCTGATCAACGTCGATTCGATTGCCTTATTGTTTTGGTTTTTTCCTTATGAGTTATTCGAAACACAGCAATTACCTTCGCACGGAATGACATGCATCTGAATGGCCAGCGTCACCAAACGTGTCGTCAGGGGCAGGTAGTATTGTGAGAGTACTACTGTAATTATCACCCTAAGATTCCAGTGAAATGGCAGATGGAAGGCAATGTGAATTATGAAGACGTAGACGAGAAGCTCTATGAACAGAATGACCGCTTCCATTATGGCTATATAGGATAGGACCGTGTAGTTTAGCGAATCGATGTTCGTGAGATTGTCGATTAATAGTATCATCCTGAAAATTATTGAATCGCATTGGAAAGGACCCACTCAGCAGACATACGCCACGAAAAGATGGAGGCACTACCAGTGTTGCAGGAATCAAGAAAAACGAGAAATGGCCTAGACTCGAGGAAGGAACTTCTTCCTTTGCCCGCAAATTTCGCCCTGATGTGACTATGGTCGGTAGCCCTCTTTGACGCTAACGATCCCTTTGCGGAACGGCTACAGCTACGGTGGACGTGCAGAGGCGCTCGAGGCATGTGGATTTCTTTGGAGAAGCACTCTTCGCTGCGACACTCGCAAATTCCGAACCCTGAGAGGGTCCGCCTGCCCTTTATTTAGGTATATTG